GTGAAAAAACTTTTACAAAAAAACTTCATTTTGAATTTTGAATGTGTGATTTATTAAACTTAATTTTAAATTAATTTTTTTAATACAATACATATGTAGGTGTGCTTTTAATATTATATAAGAAAAAATCAATCAATTTTTATTAGTAAAAGAGAATTAACCTTTTTTTTATATGTGAGAAAGAATTAATTTTTAAATATGTAGAAATTAGTTTAAAATATTTTAATAATAAATTTTAAAAAATTAAATTTAAATATGTGGTTTATTAAATATATTTAAACATATATAATTTATTAATATTTAAATAATTTTACAGATGTTTCACCTTTATTATTTTCTTGGGGGTAGATGCGAGAAAAGACTTTTATATTTATAATATATTTTTTGTTAAATTATTTTTTCAAAGTACTACTGCTTTAATGATGATTATTAAATTATTATAAATCCCATCCAATCAACTATTCATGTAAAAACAAAAATTCATTATCATAAATTTCTCATAAAAAGTCAAAAAGGAGAAAATAGAAAAACAAATAAAATGAGGGGAGATGGAAACATTTTTAAACTCGTGACATTAACTATTGGACTACATTAATGCAGTTATAAATTCAACGTCATTCTGAGTACCACTTTAGATTATTAGATGCCATTTTGATTTTTCTACACATGGGTGTGTCTTTTATATCATTTAACGAGGTTTTTAAATATTTTTCTGTACATAAATCTTGTTGATTAGGTTTATTTTGTTAAAGATTATTTACATTGTTATTTAGTCGTACATGGATTTGACGTGGGAGGCCTTTCCTGAATCATCATGATATAAAAAATTTCTTTTTTTTTTTAATTTAAGATTTACACGTAGAGTTGCATGCATTCTAAAATTTACTTTTTATAATAATATTATAATTATAGTCCTACTTAAAATTATAAGTTTATTATTATAATATAATATTAAATAAATATAATATATCAATAACTTAAATAATTTAATGATAATTTTTTTAAAAATAAAAAATTTTAAATTTGAATCACATAACATACAAATAGAGCTGGATAAGTGATTAAAGATATTATCTTTTATTGTGTAATCAAAATCAATAAAATAAATATATTATATTATTAAATAAATAAATAAACATATATAATAGTATGAATAAATTTTAAGTAAAAAATATATAATATTATAAATTTATAATATTACACCATTAATAACCGTATCATTCTTACTATTTTTTGCTTGTGGGTAAAGCATATTTTCTGCAGAGTAATACGAAGAGGAGAATTTTAAATAGAAAGCAAGTGAATGCATGCTGCATCCGTTGTTCAATGAATCAAATATTTTTGAACAGAAGTGTGACTCAAGTTACTTGCATCACTTGTTTTTTTTTTTTTAAATAATAATAATAATAATGATAACCCAAAAGTCCAATCGCAGCCAACCCATTAATATATTTAACAAAAAGGCAAAACCTCTATTGAGTACCTGAATTTTCCATTTTTTGCATAAAGGTCCTTCAATTAAATTTTTAGCCCTATAAACCCTTAAATGTTGCAATTTAAGCATATTAACCCCTACTTATAATGGAGTGCCACAAGTGGCCACAAATGTCACGTTACTGCTTACAATGGAGTAGCACCTTTTATGCCATGTCAATGCTAACATGGCATTGATATTCCTTAATCATTATAATTTTAAATTAGATAATTGAGACTCGCAAAATGTTTTTAATATTTTATGTTAAGAAAAAAAATAAAGGATAAATTTGGGCTTGCTTTTGAAACATTTTGTCTTAAACTTTCTAAAACATTTTTTAATTGAAGCTTATGTTTACTCTTAGTGCACCTATTGCAAAAAGCTTGAGAAACAACACAATTAAAAAGGGTATGAAAAAATGAAAATAAACAAGCACTGCCACCAGGACAAGAAGAAACAATAAGTGAATGATGATCATGAAAGATTCATGTTGTGGAGGAGAAATTCAAATAGAAACTTTGCTTGTCATGAAAGATTTGCGTTTCAAAACCAAGAGAAAATCAAATGAAAATATAATTAGTTTATTTTCCTTCCATCATATATCATTATAATGCTTGTCATGTGATAGTTAAGTTTGGCAGTGTAATTAAAAAAGTATTTAGTATCATGGGAAAACAAAATATGGATTCTCATCTAACTAAAATTAATTAACTACTTAAGAAAAAAAAAAGTTAAATTACCAAATTAATGCATTTTTATAGGATGAGAAATATATCTTCCTGATACACTAGATTTTCCATAACTTGCTAATAGTTTCAAGGAAAAAGGAAAAGGGTGTATGGATTTTGAAGAGAAAATCATATTCTATTAGTGAAGATATGTAAAAGAGAAATAATTGATTATTTATTAATTAAAGTTGTTAAAGTAGCTTATAGACACATATCATGTCATCAATGACGTGGGAATTAAGAAAGTTCCAAACAAGCCAAAAATTAATGTCATGAGCGTCATGTGCGGTCATATGCATATTTTACTTTGATTGCAAAGTCAATGAAAAATTAATCTAAGGGCTTATATGGGAAAATGGGACAAGTTTATGGGCTTGTCATAGCGTTTTGTAACAAAAATGTGAAAGAAAGCATTGATGGGGGTAGAGTAGAGATCCACGTGCGAAATCGAAAAAGAACTTGAGAAAGGAATTAAAAAGAAAATGCTACTTTTTTTCATAGGTACTTTTATTTAATATTTTTTTATTGTAATTTAATGGTAAAAGAAAACTTTTTTATTTAACAATACATTCAATTTAAAAGGAATGGAAAGAAAAAATTTTTTTGTTAATTTATAAAAATTTAGAGGAGAGAAGATTACTAGAATTATTTTATTTTATTTTTTTAATTAATTTATTTATTTAAATAAAGAAGAGGAAGAAGAAAATTAAACTCCTTCCTTCGTCTCCTCTTAATTTATCTTAATCCAAATATGCAATAACTCTTTCTATATAATTTCATTTTTAATAAAAAAACATTTTTAATTGTTATTTGTATACTATAAAAAGAGTAGGAATTCACATATTACATATTATCTTTTAATAAAATTTTAATTATTTATCTATCTATTTTTAATAATATTTATTTATTTTTAATAATTGAGATTTATTTATATTTATTAAAAATAATTTTTTATCTAAAAAATGATAATAAATCTTAATTATTAAAAATAAAAAAATAAAAAATCAAAATTTTATATAAATATAATATGTAAAACTTATATATAAATAAATTTTTTCTCCTAGTAAAACATCATTTGAAAATATACATAAAAAGGTCAAATAATTTATAGCATTTTACAATAGGGGAGTAATTTATTTAAGAATAGTTAAAATACATAAGTTAAGAATATATTTATTATATTATTTATTTTAAAAAATAAAAAAATTAATTTAGCATAAATTTAAAATTAAAAAATTATTATTATTTTAAATAAAAAATAATAAAAATATATAATAACTACACTTTTAATATATACTTCAAATATACAAATTAAAAAAAAATGTATTTAATGGTTTAGGGCGGCTTGGAGGACAGAATCGCAGTCCCATTCATAGGATCCTAACTTTAGGGCAGCTTCTCTTTCTACGAGGCTGCGGCCTGCCCTTCTCTAAGATACATGTAATCATTAGAAGACGGTAGTAATTAATTAATTTAGTCAGAAGCTTATCAACAAAAAATTGATTTAATTATAATAATTACTACATTTAAGATATGAAAAGACTTAATTAGCTCTGTACCCAAGGAAGAAGAATATTGGAATATTACAGCCAATTAAAAGTTGGCATTTGGGTCTTCTGCAAATTGTCTCGTGCCCGCCATTTTCTAACCCTCTAATCTAATTTATCTTTTACTTTGCTAGTATTACCAGATCTTGTGGAATTTTTTTGTTTTTTTTTTTTTTTGCTTAAAGATGTGGGTTAAATGGATCAAACAATAAGAAAAAAGGGTTTATCATTTTTTAATTCAAACAGTAAAATATAAATCATTAAATAAAATAATTTTTAATATTAAAAGATATGTTCTTATTTAATAATTTAAATTATAAAACTTAATATAATTCAGACTGTTTTAACATTTTTATGAGAAAAAAATAGATACAATAGAATACCCTCCAGCATGGTGTGTTCCACCAGGTTACAGCACGGTAGGATTGAAAGTTCTCCTTAAAAGAAGTGGAGGGCATCAAAACCCCACTTTCATTCCAGCCATATTTTTGCATACAAACTTTCCTTCATATTGTGTTCCTCTCTACTGCAAATTGCTCCCACCATTTACAAAGTAAGGTCATGTTTTAAGGTACAAAGATAAATTGGCTTAACTCAACATATTCAACAACCCGAATAAGAGTTCTAAACCAGCAAGAAATCAGTAACCAATTCATCAACTAAAGAAGTTAATATGATTTTCTCAATCCCTATACCCTCTTCAAATGCTTCAGCATTGAAGTCAAGCCATCTACCATATTGACTGCTCATGTCTCTGTCTACAAGCTCATCCACCATCATGTCTCCCATACTTTTCCAACTTGAGATCTCCTTGTATAATTCTCCTGCCAACAATCCCTTTCTCCGGGACAGCATTGCACATCTAGCCCATCCTTTGCAGGTTCCAACAAAAAGTTGCTCACATCTTAGGCCTAGGCATTCACTCACACAATCAAACAAGAGTTTCCTGCAAAGCTTGGAGTAGTCTTCTCCATTTCTCTCTTTTGCATTGTCACTCTCCAGTTGATTGAAGACATCTGGGACTATAACTTCATTGGTATAGCCCATTGCAAATTCTACGAACATTAGATCAGCATTTATAAGCATCAGTTTAATGTAATCAAGTTCCCAATCGGTTGGTTCCATAGGATCTATCGGATTGAATGCTCTGGTTATATGCTTCTCATCAATGTACCCCAAAGATATAGAAGAAGCTGTGTCGGACAACTCTGTTCCACCATCCACTTGAGTCTCAACAGAAGAGACCCAACTTGAGGTTGCTTGGTCCAGAGCCAAGGAGGATCTTTTGATCTCTGAAAATGAAGAACGTAGCTTTTGGTCATTTTTGTTATCAGTGCATATATTTCTAAGAAGCCACCACAACCAAAGTATTTCAGTCATATTGATTCAGGCTTCTGCTTATACAACAAGCATATAGGTCATATTAGAAGCCAAAAACAGAAATAATACACATAAATCTTCAGAAAGGGAAACTAATTTGTGTCGAGACTGAAAATCCTAGAATGTATAATGGCTGGGGTGCTAATTAATCTTTCATGTTATTTTAAACTGAATTTCATGAGTTTATTCATGTGGCAGAAATAAGGAAAAAAAAAAAAAAAAGAATAGAAAACAGTAACAGGTACCGTTTCTGCTATCTGAGCAACTTCTGCTGCTATCAAGAGAAACTGAGCTGGAAGGAAGCTGATCAAATTCTGTTATGGTCTCACTGTAGTTGCTGCTGTCATCACACTCCTTCAATGCTTCAAACTGCCATAACAATGCAATAAAATTCAAAGTCAAATATATTCCCAATGTAAATTGAGGGATCAAAGTAACATTTCTCTACTAAATGTAGAAAAATAAGAAAAGTAACACACAATTGAAAATAGAGAAAAGAATTATGGATGTTTGTACTTCTATATGGCTTGAAACTTAGGACATCTATATTTCATCATAACCATGCTATTTGGGTGGCAAGTTATAATCAAGAAAAGGAATGCACCTGCAATTGGATATCAATTTGCACACAGCTGAGATTTCAACAATTCAATTTCAATCAATCAAATTGAATTAAAATCTACATAAAATTTAGTTTTAATTGGTAGGAAATAAAAGGAACAGGTTTATGATACTGTCACATCTTTTCCATACTATGAAAATGAAACTTGCAAACGAATTAAGAGAATTACAAGTCAGTTTCTACATAACCCAAACAATTCTAAACCTTATAGACAGCACTTAAATGTGAGCTCCTGCAACTTCATCAAATCTACATATCCAGGTAATAAAAAGAGGCTACGTTTACACTCTCCTGGCAATCACTAGTTACTGTTTGATTTTTACAATAATCTTATGAGGCTGTAGTTTGATATTGTGAAATACAATTAATATGTTTCTCAGAAACACATGAGCAAAACCACCATCAGAAATCCTATCCAAGCACTAAGATTCTACACTTGACAATACCATATAACATTATTTACACGCACCACAAGATCCAATCATTATACCAAGAAGAGGAGGAAATAAGTGAAAAGTTAGTGGGAAGAAACAAACCTGCCACTTCTTTTTACCATCAAGCCCCAAATTGTCAGTCAAGGAGCAATCAGAGCCATCTGCAATGTATGATATATCTTTATCTGGATTAAGTTGAAGCATTCTCTCAAGTTCCATTGATGGCATAGCAACTGAATCTTGCAAACTGAATGCAGCAGCAGGACCAACAGAACTGTTCTCTCTTATCACATTACAGTTGGATGACTCAATTTTGCATGCCAATTCCTGGAGCTTTTGTTCCACAAGAACACTCAGATCATCATCATCAATTATATTAAATCCAGCAGAAGCAAATGCTGAACTTCTCAAACATGTCTGATCATTGTCTGCAGAGGAACCAGTCACAAAACTGTTTTTCTTTTCTGTATCTTGACCAGACAAGTAAGGACCAGGCATAGAACCTTTGATGGGAGATGAGAATGTAAATGAAATGACATCCATGCCTGTTTTAATATTCTCTGCACCCCAATTCTTGTGCCCATTAATTGCAACATTACATTTAATTGACCTCCTATCTTTATTGATAGATGAACTACCAGAAACTATTCCTTCAGAATGAAGATCTCCATTTTCAGGTTGTTTCTTTCCAGGTAAATTCTTTCTTCTAGACAAGGAAAGCTCCTTTTTAGTATCAGTTGCCACTAAGACCGTCTTCCTAGTTTCAGAGTTTACAGCAACCTTATTAACAGTTCTATTGAGCCCAGTGCTACCAGTTCCATTCATGGACTTGGCTTTTCTGCCTTGCTGGTTGGAAACTGCAACCTTTGAAGCTGAACAATCTTTTTTAGGTGCACAATTCTGCTTCTGGTTATTCTGCCTCAGCACATTGTTAGGCCTGTTTGCAGAAACTCCTTTCTCTGAAGTCCTTTGCATGTCTGTCTGGCTCCTAGAAAACTGTTTTGCTTTGACATCATTCTTTTCCTTCTGGTTCAAAGAACTTCTAGAGCCACTTGACACTGATCCCACAGATCCCTCTCTCCTCTGAACATTCACCTTAGCTTGCACTGCAAGTGAAACTGATTTTCTGTCCCTCCCTGAACTGGGAGAAATACGTTTTTCAGAATCCCTAGATGGCCTAAATGCAGATGTATAATCTGATCTGCCTTGACTCTTGTCACTAGGATGACTTTTCACAGACTTAGATGAACTGGGCTCACCAGGTCTCTGAGATCTGAATGTTTTATCTGCAGCTTCCATTTTCTCTTTCAAATCTCGAATTTTTAGAGGAACTGAAGGAGACCTCAATGAAGATACTCTAATCTTATTAGCTGCCTGGGGACTTGCCTCAATTATCTTTGCAGCAGCCTCCATTACATAATCTGCATTTCTTAGTATGAATCCTGGACTCTTGATAGGAGACAAAAGCTTGTGGTGTGTGATTGGAATTGATTTTGCTGATTTTGGAGGCAAACTTTCAGTCTGAAATCTCTCAATTGGTCTACCCTGCACTTTGTGGAACCTTGATTCGAAGGAATTTGAAGAAAAAACATCAAGCTTATAGGGCATGTTGGAGTGTTCCATTGAGTTATTTCCATTCCAAAAATTAGGATTAGTCTCATAATGAGCCGTTCTCTGGGAACGAGATCCTAAATATGGGGTAGAACAAGACTCTAGAACATTTGATGTTGGTAATGAGTCCAAACCCATAAGCCTAGCAACTACCCCAGGTGCCCTAGTTCCATATCCTTCATCACTAGTCACTGATGAAGCAGAGCTAAAATCACTACTTCCTTTGCGGTTCAAACTTGCTTTGCTTTCATCCAAGTCTATCTGGAAAACCCAAAAAAATCAAAAAAGAAATTAAACATTACAATCACAAACTAGTATTGTACTCTAACCCAAAATTTAGGAAACAAAGAAAAGAGAAGAAGAATAAAGTACAAAAAGAGTGTGGGGTTTATACCAAAGGATGACGTACTCTTCCAAAATCTTCCACTTGTTTAACCAGTTTTGATTCTTCTACAGACAAAATGCCAAGAAAAATATGCATAATTACAAATACTAAACTGTAAAAAGCTGTTAAACATACATTTGCATATTACAAGGAACAGAACAATACCAGATGATTCAGCATTGCTAGAGAACAGCTTCTTCCTAGATTTACCATTCCAATCAAACAAGTGAAAAAATCCTCCCTTGGAACGTGTCTTCTCAACCTCCATCCCCTCACCCCAAACCTGCATTACTTAAAGAATTAACCCCAAAGCACACTCCAAACATGAAGAAACTTTGAATCACCAAATTGATATCTTCAGTTATTGTATACAAGATGTTATCATTCACACTTCATTACATTAATATAGGGAAATTGTGAATATAATATAAAAGGCTATCACCAACATTTTGCTCATTCAGCTGTCTAAGAGATACAAAGATGCAGTTTATCCTATATAACGAAGAAATTCAGAGAAAGAGAATGAGGGATTTCCGATACAGGACAGAGTAAAATGCAAATTAGATCTCCCTAATCCTGCATTTATAAGATCACAAAACCAATGAAAATAAAAAAATAAAACGTTTGCAAATCAGAAAAAAAAAATTTACCTAAAAGATAATCAGCAGAACTTTAAATCTCCTTTCCTTCCTAACTCCTTGTACAAAAATCAGAACCATCAACAAACCCCATCTCTTGAACACAATGAGGGTACCCAAAATCAGCTAAATCCAACTGGGTATTCTCTGAAGGCAATAAAAATTCAAACTTTGAAACATTTGAAAATTTTCATTCAAATCTCCCTATACAATCACCACCCAAAGAAACCCCATTTGCAAACTCCAAGCAAAATTTCCATTTTTTTCCTTCTGGGTACTTTTGGTTTCTCCCTCAGATTCTGGAAACAGAAACAAGCTGAAAAATGTACGTAGAGGTAAAAGAATGAGACACAAAAAAGACGTATCCAAAAAGAAATATTTGGTAATGTTAGCACAGATTGTGATTGTGAGGACTGAGGAGTGAGATTTGTGAGCAGAGGGAGAGATGAGTAAGAAGTAATAGAGGGTCAAGTCAAATCATGGAAAGCAGTAAAAGAAGCAGAGATTTGAAAAGAGTAAGAAATGTCTGGTCTGGTTTTGAGCATTAAAATCTTGGGGGAGGAGGAAGAGACACAAGCCGTGCCTCTGCCGGACTCAAAGCATTAGTCTTGGTAAATTAAAAATAATAATAAAAATAAAAATAAGGTAAGAATTTAGCATTTAGCTCTTGTTTTTTTCTTGACCTGCCACGTGGAGTTTTGTTATTTGATATCAGCCTGGGACCCAGTCTCCATCCCCCCAATCAGCAGCCTATCCAGTCTTTATTTTCTCCTTTTAAATTATAAAAAAATATTTATATGGTTTGAATTGTGAGAATCTAGGCAATATTAATTATTAAATAAAAGTTACCTTTTTATATTGAATTTTTTTTATTTAATGATTCACATATTACATTGTCTTAATATCAAACCCTTAAATTATTTTGGTAAAGAAACCCGTGCGGTTCAAGTATTCATTTAATTATTGGTTAAATGAGATCTTACTTTTGAATGTGGGGTTTAATCTCCATCCCTTCTTATATTTTTTCACTGTAATTGTGGCTGCTGCTGCTTAAAAGAGCAGCCGGTGGATTACACCCTTATTTAAATTCAATATCTCCTATTAATAATTCTAACTTTATTAATTACTAATCATTGCCCTTGTAAAAAAAATAAAAAATAAAAAATTAGAACTTAAAGTTTATTGAATTTTAAATCCCACTGCAAGTTTGCATTTGTTAAGTTGGTTGGATGTGGACTGGAAGTAAGTTCCATCTCCTCTTGATTTAGTTTTCAATCTTGGAGAAGTAATTTTTTTATAAATTTTTGTTTGTAGGATTTATCTTTAATTTAATTGAATAGAAAATGTGACCTTAATTCAACACCTAAAAGTTAACTTAAAATGACACATAGAGTAGGGTATGTTTAATTTGATTGGTTTTATTATTCTATAATACATATAAAAATAAATATTTTCAATTCAATTATTATAAATGCTAAATTTATAAAACTTTAGTATATATAATATACATGAAAATAAAAATAATTACAAAAGTTATTTTTTCAAAATTTTAACTATATTAAAAATTTTAAACATATATGTAAAATTTTTTACATGTATAAAAGTTTTGACAGTTGTTCCTAACTCTCCTATCTACTTTATACTATAATTCATGAATAATTACTGTCCTATACATAACCATTAAAAGAATTATTACTATTTGGGAATAATGGGCAGACCATTTTCCTTCTTTTTTATTATAAATTTTTTTTTTTTTTGCTTGTCTTTCTCTTCTTGCGCATTGCAAATCAATCTTTCAAATACCAAACAGTCCAATGGACACTTGAGCTAGTATTTTGACTTTATCAACAAAAGTACAAAACAAAGAAAAGAAAATAAACAAATTGAATAGATAATCAACCAACAGCTTTTGAGCATGCAAGTTTTAAATTTTTAGTTTCTTTTTTCTTTGTCCTGTTGGGATTCCATGACATCACCAAATCAAGGGCTTTTTCAACCACAACTCTGATTTTTTTTCTCCTCACCCCAGTTGAAATTCCAAGCATCATGCAACTGGGCTGCGTGATTCTTGGATTTTGGAGAGGCTTTGCCTCGCTGACAGCTAAAAGTTCACCTAAAGATCCTTTTCCATAAAGATTGATTACCATGCATTAAGTTATGATTTAGGTAAAATTATTTGTCTTTTTTTATTAATTTTTTAATATTTAAAAATTATATTAAATTTTAATTAATTTTGAGTTGAAT